CACACATACATACATATGAATTTAATAATATTCTTAATGCTATTGGAAATGTGAAGTACATCCAAAGTAGTAGTACTAGTACAGTATACTGTCATCTCAAGAAGAAAATTAACACCACAACAATTGCACTCAGAAATCTTTCAATATATTTTCGAATATACACACTACAACATGTACAATCTACAGTATGGTTTGATAAGCTAAGGCAATTCATGTACCGAAGCACTTTGACAATTACAGAGGTTACCGTAGTTACAAATAATCATGACGTGACAAATCCCAAATTTGAACAGTTACCATTCATCTCATCAACTCTTAAAATATGTGATAATAATCACATTTGTTAGTGAAATCATAGAAAAAATTGCTTACTTTTCTTATTCTCCATTCACCAATGTTTAGAAAACATATTGTTCTTAAATGCTAAGTTTAGTATGACAAATGGAAACGTAAAAACAATTTACAAACAGTCTTTTAAACATTTTTCGTTTGAGAAATGGTAACATAAACTCAATATCCTGATTTTGTTTCACAGTAAATATGAATTATGTATTATTGCTTATGTCTGTATGTTTAAACTAGTGATCATCAATCAACATTGTCACTAAAAACAATTGTGAAAGTGAAATTCTAGTCACAGAATAGGTATGTTTTTGCCACGAAATACAGCTGGGATTGATATTAGTTACAAGAATAAATAGTTATAACACTATCTTTCTTCGATACTGCACAAAACAACAGTACAACATGATCATAGAATTAATATCAGACAATCCAATTTGAATGGCCCCAAATATATGGTGAAAATATACAACCATTGAACAGTAACCTCATTAACAAACATTTGCAAATTGATAACCCATCTCAGCTTTTTCCTGAACTTGTGAAAGTATCCATGCCAAATGGCAAAGAAATATCTTAATGCGATAATTGAGCATTTATTCATTTTGTTGTACATGAATACCAGTTTGACCAGATGAGTCAAAGATACTCTTCCAGGAACATTTCTTGATTGGTGGGTAAGAAATTCTGCCAATTGACATTATTTTTTTCTGCCTTTTAATCTTTTTCTTTGATAAGATTTGGGTTCTCTTTTGATTTGCTTAGTTATGCTCAAGCATAATTGAACAACAGACAACTGTTGAGGCTGGTTCACTGACTGTAAGTGGTTGCAAGCAGTTTTGTTTAGGCACCAACGGAGAAGTGGCATCGGTTGACGGTATGTCAGAGACATGGCAGGTCTGTGAGCGTATGGTGGGTGAGGCTGGTTCACTGACTGATACATTTGATAACATAGATCTAATTGAGGAATGCGAATGAGTGGTATAAAGTGCCTGACTGCTACATGCCCAGGTCACTTCAATCATAGGCCCAAAAGTTACATCAGTCTGTACACCCATTTCTCTGGTCTTCGGCACAGTCCTTCCACTCTTTGTATTTGATATTTTCCACCCCCCTGCTCTCCACAAACTGTCAAAAATTTCTCCTCATCTCTAGTCCATCTCCCATTATGGCATGGTTCCTGAAAAATATTATATATTATTTTTTTTCAAATATTCTAAATTTAGGCAAATGGTGCAACATCAGTATGTTTATACAAAATTTGTGTCAACAGCTTAAAACAAAACTTAGAAGGTGAGGTGAAATGGGGTTTAACGTCGCGTCCAAGATTATTGTACTTATTTAGGGACGTGCATGTACGTGTGTGTGTTTGTGTGGCTGCTTGTACTAGTCCGGACTGATGCCGATTTATAGTGCTAGCTCACTGAGATACCATGCTGCAGTTTAACATGAATACCCCACTCAGACACAGTATACTGACTCCGAGCCGACCAGTCCTTGTTTTATCCCCTTAATGCCGAGCGCCAGACAGGGTAACAACAATTAATTAATGCGTCAATTAGCCGACGCTCTACCACTGGACCACGAGCGCTATCACAGGTGCTGAGTGCTCGTTTAACGGGTCATTAGCAGCCCATTAACACGCATGCGCAATTTAAAAAACAATGGATTGCGCATGCGTGTGACGTCATGATCCGCCTCCCCATTCATCAATTCTTGAAGCCACACCCGCCATTGTTCTGTAAACATGACCAGCCAATCCGACTCCGCTATGGTGTACGATGACGTGTTTCGTATTACTTTCGAACCGATGGCTTCTCGTCGACTGGCTTACCACCCGCGGGGTCATAGGTGACTTCGCAGGAGCCTGTCCCCGTTGCGGCCAGTTAACACGGAAGAAAGATTCGAGTTACGGGAGAGACGGCCTGGGGAGTTGTGCACTTTACCGGGCGCACTTTTTCAGATCCAATTAGCGCTGCGCCCAAAGTGGTCCTTTACACACGCTTAGCAGCAATGTCTGACTCTGAAGACTTTGAGATTGACCTTATTGCTACTAATCCCAATGATAAATGTGAGAATGCTTTTTCCTCACCAAAGACCAAAAATGACGTTGCTCTGACTGTAGAGGGAAAACAACTCTATGTGAACAAGGACATGCTGATTCACGTCTCGCCCGTTTTCGCAGTGATGTTCACGGGAGATTTCAAGGAGAGCTCCCAGTCCGAGATCCCTCTACCTAACAAGAAATACGGTGACGTGGTGGAGCTGTTGCAGTGTGCATTCCCTTCTACCAAGGATCATCCGATTACAAGGGAAAACCTGGATGTTGTGCTCCATCTGGCGGATTAATATGGAATTGAATTCCTCAAACAAAGGTGCGAGGGGTTTATCACCAATAGTCTAATGGTAAAAGAAAATATGAGTAACAGAGAGTTTATCCATTACCTGTATCTAGCTGATACCTATGATTTGAAAACTGCCACCAAGTCATGTACGGATTTGGCATTAGGCAAGGAGTATGGGGATTACGATGGTCTAAATAAGACGGAGGGTTTTGAAGAGCTTTCATTAAAAACCAGATTTGATCTCGTTTTGAAAAAATTAATATTCATTGAGCAAAAGGCCAAACCGATTGCATCTCAATTCTCTAAGGAAATGATCATGAAAGCCTACGACAAGGCGACAAAATGTGACTGCTGGAGTCAAGGGATGTACAGCAAGGAACGGGGACCACCATGTTCAAGTTGTCCACAACGCATGCGACACACTTTCGAATCACTGTCAAGTTCAGTAGACAGCCTTGCCAAATGTTTCTCTAGCCGGACACACTATCAAAACAAGCATGGTGTATTCGGCTTTTAAAGATTACAAGGAGTGGCTGAAATGTTCTGAGCTAACTTTGATGTACTGCGTTGATGGAGTTGATTGCTAAGTATTTTTCAACCCTTATCACCCCCAAGGTCTACACACTTCTGCCAACGATGCTGGAGTTTCTGGATCCCACTGGTGTAGACAGCTATAAAGTCCTCCACATAGAAATGAAGTCATCATCATTTGCATAGTACTTGTCTCACAGTTCTTTCTTCAAGTTTGGGAAGAGGCGGAAATTTGATGGTGCCAAATCTGGTGAATACAGAGGTTATTCGTGGAGTTCAAAGTTCAGTAATGTATTGCAGCCATGATGATAACAAAATTGTGGAGAGGTGCATTGTCATGTTGGAACATGAGACAGCTTTAGTGAGTTTTCCACGATGTTAGACTTGATACTCACATGGAAGTCCTTGTGAATGTCCACTTATTTCATACAATATTAATATAGTTTCTTGACTTGTACATTGTTACTGAGTATGCAAACACTATATGAAGGTTTGAAACCTTCTGCTCTTCTCCACCGACCACTTCTGTGTAGAGTGGATAGGGTGTTTGCCCGGAGAGTTGAAGGTCGGTGGTTCAATCCCCTGGCAACACCTTACAAAAAAAGACTTTTATGTTATATAAATGCAATATTCGCGGCAAACCCCATTTCATCTCAAATCGGGTTCTGACAAGGACTTTTGCAGGATTTTTAATATTTGCCACTCAAATGTAAATCAGTTCTCCAAGTTCATAATTGGACCTTAATGTTCCAATAAAGTGCTTCATGTATTGGTCAATGTTGTTCTTGTCTCTCCTCTCCCATGCAGCAAAAAGGGTCATTCTCACCCATCACAGAACAATGCAGGCTGAATGTTAAGGTGAGTGAGTGAGTGAGTTGGGTTTAACGTCCCTTTTAACAGTATTCCAGGTATATCGCGGCGTGTCAGCTTAATGTGGGAGGAAAGCCCGAAGTGATGCAGGTCTCTGACATTTACAACTTTGGTGAAACCCACGAGCACGGGTATGGTGCTGACAAACCTAGAAACATAATCGGGATGAACCGGGATTCGAACCCACAATCAAAGGTTTCTGGCGTACCCAAGGGACGCAACTCTGCGCAGCGAATCGCGGCGCCTAGACGACTGGGCCACCCGTGCCCCCAAATGTTCAGGAGTAGCAACATGGTTAAAACAACACCCAGACCACAGTACATGGTAACTCACTCAATTTGTACATGATTAAACAGCCTCGTAATGAGTAAAACAGCTTGAAATAATGTACTTAATACAGATATGACATGTGATAAATCTTAATCTTCCAGGACTACTTCCCAATGACCCATGAATGTCATCAGAGCGGACAAATGAAGATCTGGTGTTTACAATCGGGGTGAACTGGGATTCGAACCCACAATCATAGGTTTCTGGCATGCGCAAGAGACGCAACTATGCACAGCGGATCGAGGCGCCTTAGACGACTGGGCCACCTGTGTCCCCGCTCCGTATGTGTCCTGGTGCAGATGGCATGGGCTGTTGATCATGCTGTCAACCACTGGTTGGTTTGGTTCTCTCAGACCTGTTACAGATCATGGTGAAATTTTTGGGATATTGCAAGCCATCATCTTAACGACCTTCACTCACTTCCACACAGAACTTGGGTATGGTGTAACGTTACAACATGTAAACTGACTGTATTTACATCACTGTTCGCTTGATTATTATGCTTTGCCGTGTTAAGACCGGTACATTCAATATGAACAAAAATTGTTTGTAAAATATTTATTGCCTTTTTTTCAAGCATGATGCATACACTGGAAAAAAGAAAAACAACCAACAATTGTACTTTCTATTCTATTTATCACAGGACACAGTTGCATGCATCTCATTTTTACAAACAACTCACATGGATTTTTTTATGAAGGCACATAGTCTTAGAATCTTCAGAGTTTTATACTCCCCCGTCTGCTGTATTGCTATACTCTACCCAATCTGCTGTAGCGCTATACTATACCCCCATCTGCTGTAGTGCTATACTGCACCCCCATCTGCTGTAGTGCTATACTGTACCCCCATCTGCTGTAGTTCTATACTGTACCCCATCTGCTGTAGTGCTATACTGCACCCCCATCTGCTGTAGTGCTATACTCTACCCAATCTGCTGTAGTGCTATACTGCACCCCCATCTGCTGTAGTGCTATACTGCACCCCCATCTGCTGTAGTGCTATACTGTACCCCCATCTGCTGTAGTTCTATACTGTACCCCATCTGCTGTAGTGCTATACTGTACCCCCATCTGCTGTAGTTCTATACTGTACCCCATCTGCTGTAGTGCTATACTGCACCCCCATCTGCTGTAGTGCTATACTGCACCCCCATCTGCTGTAGTGCTATATTGTACCCCCATCTGCTGTAGTGCTATACTGCACCCCCATCTGCTGTAGTGCTATACTGTACCCCCATCTGCTGTAGTTCTATACTGTACCCCATCTGCTGTAGTGCTATACTGTACCCCCATCTGCTGTAGTGCTATACTGCACCCCCATCTGCTGTAGTGCTATACTGTACCCCCATCTGCTGTAGTGCTATACTGTACCCCCATCTGCTGTAGTGCTATACTGTACCCCATCTGCTGTAGTTCTATACTGTACCCCATCTGCTGTAGTGCTATACTCTACCCCCATCTGCTGTAGTTCTATACTGCACCCCCATCTGCTGTAGTTCTATACTGTACCCCATCTGCTGTAGTGCTATACTCTACCCCCATCTGCTGTAGTTCTATACTGTACCCCATCTGCTGTAGTGCTATACTCTACCCCCATCTGCTGTAGTGCTATACTGCACCCCCATCTGCTGTAGTGCAGTCTCTATGATGAAGATGATGTTTTCGCTACTTGCATGGCTCATCAGGGGACACTCCAGCTCACCTGAAACACAAACATGGGTTATCTCCCTTCCTTGTGTTATTCTTGTAACAGCACTGTTCATATTCAGCTTACTTGGCTACATGATTTCACAGTTACCTACATAATCCTGTAGGAAGCACTGGGACAGTGACACTATCCTCAGGGTAGAATTACACACATTCTGCCAACTCACACACTGCAATGCCCTGATTATTAGTTCAGTCTGCATCGACTGCCGACCTCCACCACACTGTGCATGTCCTGCATGTCAGTACATATCTTTCACTGAGTAGATAGGGGGTAGAATTGATCTTCAGCAACACATGCATGTCGTAAGAGGTAACTAACGGGATCGGGTGGTCAGGCTCACTGATTTGATTGATGCATGTTATTGTATCCCAATTGTGTGGATTGATGCTCATGATATTAATCACTGGACTGTGTGGTTCAGACACAATTATTTAGGTACCGTCTTCAGCAACCCATATTTGTCATAAGAAGGGACTAATGGGATCGGGTTGTCAGGCTCGCTGACTTAGTCGATGCATGTCATCTTATCCTAATTGTGTGAATTAATGCTCATGATGTCAATCAGTCTGGTCCAGACTCGATTAATTACAGACCGCCGTCATATAGCTTGAATATTATGGCGTTCAACAACAAATAAACAAAGTAATCAAGAAAACATTTGTTCCAGCTCATAATACATTTATAATTGAAATATTGCTTAGTGTCTTGTGAAATAACAAACCTTTCTTGAGACAGTCTCTGACACATCTCTGTTCATACTGGAAACCTTCGCTGTTGGGGAAGTGCATCTTCAGTTTGCATGTAGGGAGAGGGAACTCGAACACCCCTGATGGCGACGTCATCTTCGTAGGACACCAGAACGGGTCCTCAACCTGCAAGTAACAACAGAGTCAGGCAAAGGATCAACCAGGTATCAGATGATACTGTAAATCATGAAATTAATGCAAAAAATTCTACCGTCCGTTGCTCGCATTTTTAACTCGGCATATGGGGTTTGTTGTCATGTCAAGTTCACTGCACATGGGTGTCTCATTAAGTACAAGACCGCCTCCGTGGTCTAATGGTAGAGCGTCTGCCCGGAGAGCGGAAGGTCCGGGGTTTGATCCCCAAACGCGTCATACCAAAAGACGTTAAAAGATGGTACTTGTTGTTACCCTGTCTGGCGCTTGGCATCAAGGGGCTAAAACAAGGACTGGTCGGCTCGGAGTCGGTATACTGTGTCTGAGTGGGGTATTCATGTTAAACTGCGGCATGGTATCTCAGTGTGCTAGCACTATAAATCGGCATCAGTCCGGACTAGTACAAGCAGCCACACACACACACACACACATACAGGTGCATGCACGTCGCTATATAAGTGCAATAATATTGGACACAACGTTAAACCCCATTTCACCTCACCTCACCTCATTAAGTACGAAGGGGCGGTCGGGTAGCCACGTGGTTAAATCATTCGCTCGTCGTGCCGAAGACCTGGGCTCAATTACCGATATGGGTACAATGTGTGAAGCCCATTTCTGGTGTCCCCCGCCGTGATGTTGCTGGAATATTGCTAATAGCGGCGCAAAACTCACTCACTCATTAAGTACAAGTACGACATACAATGATGTACAAGTATAACAAGTATGAAGTACCAAAATGACATGTATGACATGTATCTCATGTCATCCACCTTACACACAAACCACTGCTTCAAATCATTCCCCCAGTTGCCATGATGCCGTAAAATTGATTTAATTACAGGAAGTAGACTCTTTGTCTCACTAAAGATCAGACCTGTGAAGATCCGGGGTAGAATAGGTCTTCAGCAACCCATGCTTGCCATAAAAGGCGACTATGCTTGTCATAAGAGGCGACTAACGGGATCGGGTGGTCAGGCTCGCTGACTTGGTTGAAGCATGTCATCGATCCCAATTGCGTGGATCGATTTTCATGATATCAATCACTGAATTGTCTGGTCCAGTCGATTATTTACAGACTGCCATCATATAGCTGGAATATTGCTGAGTGCGGCGTTAAACAACAAACCAACCAACCAACCCACTTGCCATGATGTGAGTTTAGTTTTATGCTGCTTTTAGCAATATCACGGCGGGGGACACCAGAAATGGGCATCACACATTGTACCATGTCGGGAATTGAACCTGGGTCTTCGGCATGATGAGCGAACGCTTTAACCACAAGGCTACCGGCAGCCCCTACTTCAAACGATAAACACACTCTATTTCAGAAAGATCCAGGTTTTGTTTCACCCAGATCTACAGGACAAACGTACAAGGTTCTTCACTTAGATTTTCCTCAACACAAACAGCAGTGAATATTTACAACATCAGAGCTGAATGTATTGGAATGAAGACAACTAAGGTCATACTCAGGTCCTAAATCAAATATGAAAACAACGTAGGATATAAAAAAAATATCAAATATTGTAAGGTAGAATGACTGACAATACACTATGTGCTCACAGGAACCTACTGTAAGCCATAACTTAAACACAGCATGGCAACAACACGCACAGAAACCCTTTATATGATTATCATAACATGGCTTTGAACAGAAAACACTACCGTATATTGCCACCTATAATACACCCCTGCCGAAACCTTCAAAATCAATCATTTATCCACTTCGTCCATACAAGCCAAGTTCAAGCACATCAGCACGGCCAGGTCCAATAACACTTCCCGCCAATCTAAGTATTTATACAAGCACCACCTACAAAAACTGAAACATTTACACCACAGTCCATGTTTTCTTGTGTATATTAGAAAGTTTCTCTTTGTTTTTTTGCTTTGCTGCTTCGTCCAGCAGATGGGGCCATTTTTTGCTAACCTAGATATATTAAGTGCCCATAAAATAAAGTGAAATTAGGCAATGGATTTGATCTTAAGTGCTTGCTTGTGTGTTGTTTTACACCGCACTCAGCAATATTCCAGCTATATGACTGCGGTCTGTAAATAATCAGGTCTGGACCAGACAATCCAGTGACTGACATCATGAGCATCGATCCATGCAATTGGGATACGATGACATGCATCAGCCAAGTCAGCGAGCCTGACCACCCGATCCCGTTAGTCGCCTCTTACGACAAGCATAGTTGCCTTTTACAGCAAGCATTGGTTGCTGAAGACCTATTCTACCCCGGATCCTCACGGGACTGATCTTTAGTGAGACAAAGAGAGTCTACTTCCTGTAATTAAATCAACTGTTTAAATTAACCCACTTCACTTGAGTGTAAAATGCAAGAAAACATTTATTCATCTGGTGATAACAGGACTTCAACCATTTCAGAGGACAGAAGAAGTCTGATGGAACCTTCAAGTGAAGTTTAGGTCATTAAAGTTTATTCTGAGTTGCAAATTCAATGGATTTGATAGCAAATTAGAGTCCTGACCCCCTCCCTGAAACTGCTGAGTGGAACGTAACATTTTCTTAAGTATAAAGATGCGGACAAGTCTCACTTTGATACAGCCTTTGGTTCCGCATATAAGCATTGAGTTGGAGCTGCTCTGGGTCTTAGTGTGGTACACAATACTGGCGATACGGTCCCCGCTGAACCTCAGAGTTATGGCTCCTCCTGCATCAACTCCTGAAACAACATAAGTGAGTGACTGTTATTTTATGCCAGTGTAGCGGCCATAAAATTTCCGAGTCCTGTGATGGGATTCGAACCACGGACCTTCTGATCAGAGGTTGGCACCCTGTCCACATGACCAAAGAGGTTAACCCCGTCAGCAAGCTGACAAGGTAAGGATGTCATCTGTGGGATGACTCCACGCCCTGCTACATACTCCCCCGTCAACAGAAGGAACGTCCCGGGTCGCACAGTAGGGTACTGAGGCTTATTTTGCTCGAATTTGATATGAACGTGCTCAGCCCCACGTTGGGCGCTAATGTAGCAGCCATAAAATTTCCGAGTCCCGTGATGGGATTCGAACCACAGACCTTCTGATGCTAGGTCGAACGCCTTGTCCACATGACCAAAGAGGTTAACCCCTTCAGCAAGCTGACAAGGTAAGGATGTCATCTGCAATATTCCAGCCACCCCATTCACCTTATTGAGCACCCCTGACCAACTTCTGGACCAGTCCAAGTTATCTTTTAAGCACCATTGTTATAGGTAACCTGCTGTAACACAACACTATATACATATTTTTTTAGCTTTTAAGGTTTATGAAAATATTTGAAAATATTTAATAGTTAATTTCGCACCGAACCACCATGTTGCCGTAGCTGAGGTCAATAACTAGACGCCCTCAAATCACACGAAGCGGGTTCGAACACTGCTGGCGACACTTTTTTTCCAACTAAATTTAAAATAAAACTAGCCAAAACATTTAAAAAATAATCCCATCTACTCAATGTTTAAATTACTTGAAATGTTGGTTCAACATAATGTATGACTGAACAAATAACAGTCCATTCCTGAAAAATAATGGAGCATTTAAACAATAGAATGAAATCACAGATGTGTTTTAATACCATGTTTTGATGTTGTATATTGCTGTTTAACTGAAATTTTATTTGCTGTAAACCAAATTCCCTTGGAATAATATAGCATTATCTTACCTTATTTTATCGAAGTAATCTTTATAAGCGCCCCCCTAAAAAGACCAAAACCTTACATAACAGGTCAAATCTTCATGGGTATACCGTATTTTCTTGAGTATAGTGCATAGGGATGTGCGGTTTTATCGGTATACCTGTTTATTGCAATACAAATTCATCACGATACGTATCGCGATACGTTTTTGGCGTATCATTTTTTTCCTCATTATTCAAACACCACCTGATAAACATACGTATTTTACAATCGGAAATCATCGGGAACGAACGTTGCTGACAACTTGGAACTAGAGTTACTTCCCTTGATTGTTTATCCAACATGGCGGACGCCTTTGACATCGTGCTGAACAAAAAGGGAAAATCTTTTGACATTGAGTGTAATTTTTTTCACAATGTTCGATGAGAGACAATGACTGACATGGAATTTGTCATGATGTATAATTCTTATCAAATTTATGTTAATGTTAATGTTAATGTTTCATTGTTTTTCAAACTGTTTCAGAGAGTTAACATTATTCAAATGTGATTGAAAAAGGTTGGAGACTGTGACTGATATGTATATGCCATGATGTATAGTCTTACCTTATTTAATCAAAACAAAGACAAAACAAATGCTTCATATTCTTTATTTGATTGTAGATAAAAATAATAGTACAATTTATTAAAATTGGTTCATAATTTTGACCAAATTGTTAACATTGCAGCTTTCATATTAATATTTGTCAAAGGGATATGAAAAAAAGCTTTTCTCTTGGTAGAAATTATTTCCCAATATATTGCAATAATATTGCAATATGTTTTTGAAATATTGCAATATATCGCAATACACTTTTTGGTCCAATTCCCAACCCTAATAGTGCGCACCCATGTATAATGCGCACCCATGTATAATGCTCACCCCCCCTCTAGCGGATTCAATATTTTGGAAAAAAATAAATTTCAATACCAAGCGCAGAAAAAAAATTACACCATACCCTATGTTGATTTACCGTTTAAATTGTATTTTTTTTTCTGCTAGGCATTGTTTTGTATCCAGGGATTAAGATTGCTTGTGTATTTTCTCGTAAACTAAGCCGGACACAGCAATCAGCTGTACACACGTTTATGGTATTACCGCACTGCAGAAGGGGTACATTATTGTCTTGTAGCTATTATGGAAAAAGTGTCAGTTTTATCAATTTTTCACGTTTGTTTACTGCAGCTCAATCTCTGACAACACATTTAACTTGAGTATGGTTTTAATAATCGCCCCTATTATCAATTATCAAAGTACCCAGGACGTTTATTATGGCAACTATGGTACATCATAGTGGCCTGTTACTAAAGAGTCAAGACCAGGCACACCAAGTGGCTGATGGCATGAGCATCAAGTCAGCAAATAAGGACTTAGAAACAACAATGTCACACTCTGCAACCAATCATCCTCATCAGCATTCGTAATTCCTCGTATTCTGGCGCCAATGGTACGGTTAAAATCATACAGGTATAGTTAACACAAGGGCACACTTATAAACCATAAATCTTTTGAAGATTTATATCATATGAACCCAGTGATAACTGTTCTCTTGCAATAGTATTGTTTCATTGGTTTGTTGTTTAACATCGCACTCAGCAATATTCCAGCTATATGACGGCAGTCTGTAAATAATCAAGTCGGGGCCAGAGTGAGTGATTTGGGTTTGATGCTGCTTTTAACATTATTCCAGTTATATCACGGCATGTCAGCTTAATGTTGGAGGAAAGGCCAAAGTGATGCAGGTCACAGACGTTTACCACTTTGATGAAATCACAAGCACTGGTATGGTGCTGACAAACCTAGAAACATAATCGGGGTGAACTGGGATTCGAAGCCACAATCATAGGTTTCTGGCATGCCCAAGGGACACAACTCTGCACAGTGAGTCGCTGCACCTTAGACGACTGGGCCACCTGTGTCCCCGGTCTGGACCAGACAATCCAGTGATTGACATCATCAGCATCAATCTACACAATGGGGATACGATCACATGCATCAACCAAGGTAGTGAGTCTAACCACCTGATCCTGTTAGCCGCCTCTTACGCATCTTCCCGAGGCAAGAGCGTTAACTGACTTTACCAGTCCAGTTTTCCCCCCTGCCAAACTAGACTGGAATTCCTGGGCTCGATCGTAGCGCCACCAGTGGCTATTATGAGTTATGTCCATTCTATGCGTCTCCCATATGGACCAATCAGATTCCACCTCTCATATGACATGCATTTGCTTCAAACAAAATGGTGGCACCCAGTCAAGACGATCTGATCGACCATCAAGATCTATTTTGTGCTAAAATGGTTCTTACTTTGCGAAGTACATCAAATCATGTGAGCACCTTGGTTAATAACATGAAAAGATTTGGAAAATATCTGTTACAACGAGTTGGCGATGCACATGCTTTGCAAATCCTGGTCCATAGGAGAGGTTTAGAAGGGACATAACTTGTAATAACCACTGGTGGCACTACGATCGAACCCAGGAATTCCAGCCTAGTTCAGCAAGGGTGGAAACTGGACTTTTAATGTCAGTTAACCCTCTTGCCTCGGGAAGATGATCCTTCACGGGTCTTCCCAAATGAGAACAGTAGTATGACAAAAGCTTACAAAAGGTTCTTCAGTCAGACAAGTTTGTCTAAGAATACATGCATCACAACATATTCAGATAACAAAAACAAAATCTTAATTAGTTTTTTAGTTTATTGTTTTTCCAACCAAATGACCAGAATTTTGCTGAAACCAATTCCATAAATCCAAAATATGACAGAAAGTCTGGCCAGTATGATCACTCACCATCCTTAGTGACCTCTCCTTCTGCCACTATCTTCTCCGGCCTCTCCTTGAAGATCATGTCGGCCATCATGACACAGTAACAGCCAATATCCATGAGGCCACCACCACCCAGCCGCTTGTCATTGATGCGGGCAACGTCGTAATTGTTGATGCAGAATGAATTCTGTATCAGGATGATATCGCCGATGGAGTTGGAAGACACCTCTTCACGTACTTTCTCATAAACGGGAAAGAATCGACTCCAAAAGCCCTGTTACAAACAAAAGTGGCACCAGAGTGAGCATCATTGTAAGACTAGATATGTGTCCCTGAGGTATGCTGACTAGAGGTGTGACAATAAGCATTTATTCCATCGCGAAACCCGAAGAGGATCAACAGGTTATTTATCTGTACGAAACAATCATGTATATGAGTGTGACGTGAAATGATGTGAAACTTAGATCACATATATGAGGGAGATACGAAATTATGTGAAACTCAGACCAAGTATATGACAGTCATGTGAAATGATGTGAAACTTAGATCATATACCTGAGGGCGATGTGAAACGATGTGAAACTTAGATCAAGTACCTGAGGGTGATGTGAAATGATGTGAAACGATGTGAAACTTAGATCAAGTACCTGAGGGTGATGTGAAACGATGTGAAACTTAGATCAAGTACCTGAGGGCGATGTGAAATGATGTGAAACTTAGATCATATACCTGAGAGCGATGTGAAACGATGTGAAACTTAGATCAAGTACCCGAGGGTGATGTGAAACGATGTGAAACTTAGATCAAGTACCTGAGAGCGATGTGAAAAGATGTGAAACTTAGATCATATACCTCAGAGCGATGTGAAACTTAGATCATATACCTTAGGGTGATGTGAAACGATGTGAAACTTAGATCATATACCTTAGGGTGATGTGAAAAGATGTGAAACTTAGATCATATACCTTAGGGTGATGTTAAATGGTGTGAAACTTAGATCAAGTATAAGAAGGTGATGTGGAACGATGTGAAACTTAGATCAAGTACCCAAAGGTGATGTGGAACGATGTGAGTGAGTGAGTTGGTTTAACACCGCTTTTAACAGTATTCCAGTCATATCACGTTGTGTCAGCTTAATGTGGGAGGAAAGCCCAAAGTGATGCAGGTCTCAGAACTTTACCACTTAGGTGAAACCCACAAGCTCGGGATGGTGCTGACAAACCTAGAAACATAATCGGGGCGAACCAGGATTTGAACCCACAATCATAGGTTTCTGGCGTGCCTAAGGGACGCAACTCTGCACAGCGAATCGCTGCGCCTTAGACGACTGGGCCACCCATGCCCCCGGAACGATGTGAAACTTAGATCAAGTATATGAGGGTGACGTGAAATGGTGTGAAAGTTAGATCATATACCTGAGGGTGATGTGAAATAATGTGAAACGATGTGAAACTTAGATCAAGTATACAAAGGTGATGTGAAGCGATGTGAAACTTAGATCAAGTATTTGAGGGTGACGTGAAATAGTGTGAAACTTAGACCAAGTATTTGAGGGTGACGTGAAATGCTGTGAAACTTAGACCAATTATTTGAGGGTGACGTGAAATGGTGTGAAATTTATTTGTAAATTCTATTTTCTGTCCCTTGCATTTGTAATAGTATTTATGAGGCTACTAAATATTGCTCGTCTTGGTTTAGATCTTTTCATTCACTTTGAGGAGACCCATGATTTGGTTGGTTGGTTTGTTGTTTAACGCCGCACTCAGCAATATTCCAGCTATATGAAGGCGGTCTGTAAAAATTGAGTCTGGACCAGACAATCCAGTGATTAAAATCATGAGCATAGATCCTCGCAATTGGAATCGATGACATGCATCAACCAAGTCAGCGAGCCTGACCAACCGATCCCGTTAGTCGCCTTTTACGACAAGCATAGTTGCCTTTTACGGCAAGCATGGGTTCCTGAAGACTTATGCTACCCAGGAATCTTCACGGGTCAGGAGACCCATGACGATCTGAGTGCTGAGTGCAGCATTAAACAACAAACAAACACTTTGAGGACGTTGACCTACCCAGCATCAAACAACAAAGGGAGCCAACCACAGGTACTGTGGACCTATTACAGCTCCAGCTGCCTATACACTGATTCTATGAAGAAATTCACATCTGTGCTCATAGCTGAGACAATGCAGTACTAACTTCCATGAAAAACAGTTTCTTCTCTTTAGCTGTCTTCAGCACATGTTTGGTCTGTGCTGAGGTCAAGGTCATTGGCTTCTCACACAGGACATGTTTGCCAGCATCAAGACACAGGAGACACATCTTATAGTGTTCCGGATGGATGGAACCGATGTAAATAATTTCTGTAAGAAGCAAAACTTCATGAAATTAACATTATTTCAGTGTTCGAAATACCTGCCTGCCCGACCGTCCGAGACGGGTTGATTTCAACTCGGGCTGCCAGATTTTCAAATCCCCCTGCCCGACGGTCGGGTTATATTTCATAGGTGACAATATTCTAAATATTTCCCGATGATAATCATTAATTCACATGTAAAGATGAATGATAAAATGTAACCAAAAAGAAATCCCGTTAGCTTATCCTGAGAAACATATGATTATAGTGGGCAGGCAGGTTTTGGTCAGGGCTGGCAAGTATTTCAGCTAGCCAGTCCTGTGGTCTGGCTGAAATTTTTGGGAGTTTCATACCCTGATTATTTGTACTTCTCCAACTTACACAATATATATAGCCGTGCGACAACTGAAATGTTTGAAGAGTTTGATATGTTGACAGTTAGTTAATGACATTGGATTAAGCTACAATCTCATTAAAATCAGATCTTAGTTCTTGCTATTGACAAAAAAAGATCTGAGGACATCCCATTACGGGTCACATCAGAAAAACCTTTCATCCACCCAATCGCCAACCAGATCATGAAAGTGACAGTCGGAATGTGTTTTCTACTCATGCAACCTCGAAATATTTAACAGAGGGTATTCTGAATGACAGCTACAGGTTCTATAAGCCATTCCAGAATGTTCTTTTTATCAGTTTTCACATAATTAATCAAGAATACGTCAAAATACGTTTGGAAGCGTAGTCTCCAGTTGGAAACTAGTGTTGTAAAGCTCAAGAAAGCTGCCTTCTGATTGCATAATGTCGATTTCTTGTCAGTCATTTCATTGGTCGGTCAAAGTTTGCGAAAGGTTGTTCTGACGTGACCTGTAATGGGATGTCCTCAGATCTCTGTTTAGCGGTAGCGAAAACTAAGAGATTGATTAAGCTACAAACAACCTTGTTTGTAAGTAGAATGGAGTCTAAAACAGATTATAAAGGGTTAGATTTGAACATTTATAAAGCTGGAATGTCAAACTTGAAATATGCAAAAATATGTACATTGGCTTTTTGATCAGTAAATTAAAATTTTAGTATTTGATGATGTTAATACACTAACCACAACCTCAATGTTTGTTATTGTACTTTGCTGTAAAATTGCAACTAATCCGACCACTGTCTAAGACCAATGTGATTCCATGGTCTCCTGACCCGTGAAGATCCGGGGTAGAATAGGTCTTCAGCAACCCATGCTTGCCGTAAAAGGTGACTATGCTTGTCGTAAAAGGCGACTAACAGGATCGGTTGGTCAGGCTTGCTGACTTGGTTGATGCATGTCATCGATCCCAATTGCGTGGATCGATGCTTATGATATCAATTACTGGATTGTCTGGTCCAGACTCGATTATTTACAGACCGCCTTCATATAGCTGGAATATTGCTGAGTGCAGCGTTAAACAACAAACCAACCAACCAACCAACCATGGTCACCCAGGACCCCCCACGGTAGGCCCAGCTGTCTGAGGTGCCACAATTCGTTGTGCACAGTTGCGTCCCTTTGAAGCCTATCATTGGTCAGAATCCTGGTTTGTCCAGATTGGTTCTTGGTTTGTCAGCACCATACTCATATTTGTGGGTTTCACTTCAGGAGAAAAACTCCAAATCCTGCATCACTGCCTTCTTTCCTCCCACATCAAACAGACGTTGATATAACTAAAACACTGTTCAGACCACCATTAAACCCAACTCAATCACTCACTCACTCACTTACCAACATCAGGGTTCTTCACTAGCTCTTCATAGCTTCCATAAGCAGTCTTTATCCCAAACTTGCCAGCAAATTCCTTGGCTCTGTCAGCTGATCGGGCAGCAACAGCTACTACCTGAAGGTGAGCACATACATTTGTTTTGTATGTTTGTTGTTTAATGTTGCACACAGGTGAGCACATATATAGTTGTTTGTATGTTTGTTGTTTAATGTTGCACACAGATGAGCACATATATAGTTGTTTGTATGTTTGTTGTTTAATGTTGCACACAGATGCGCACATATATAGTTGTTTGTATGTTTGTTGTTTAATGTTGCACACAGATGCGCACATATATAGTTGTTTGTATGTTTTTTGTTTAATGTTGCACACAGATGAGCACATATATAGTTGTTTGTATGTTTGTTGTTTAATGTTGCACACAGGTGAGCACATATATAGTTGTATGTATGTTTGTTGTTTAATGTTGCACACAGATGAGCACATATATAGTTGTTTGTATGTTTGTTGTTTAACGGTGCACACAGATGAGCACATATATAGTTGTTTGTATGTTTGTTGTTTAATGTTGCACACAGATGAGCACATATATAGTTGTTTGTATGTTTGTTGTTTAACGGTGCACACAGATGAGCACATATATAGTTGTTTGTATGTTTGTTGTTTAATGTTGCACACAGATGAGCACATATATAGTTGTTTGTATGTTTGTTGTTTAATGTTGCACACAGGTGAGCACATATATAGTTGTTTGTATGCATTAGTCAAGCTCTTTCTTATTTGCAGTTTTTGTGCTTGAAATGTCACATTGAAAAAGAAAAACAGAAAAAAAAATGTTAGACCTAGTTAATTTTTTTAAGCAAATGCTCCTCCTATTTGCCAGCATGGCTATCATATACATGTTTTTGCCAATTTAGTATTCAAGTTTAGTATTCAAACATTCGTCTATTTACCTGATGCTCCTCCGCGTTTTGACTGACAAGAGCTGAGGTGAAGTCATGGGATATCTTCCCAGCACTCAAGATTCCCCACCTGGTTGCCATGGCGATGTGTCTTCCTGCAAACTTCAAGTTTAAAACAGAGTGAGTGAGTAAATTATTCTTATGACACTTTTTGCAACATATAAGCAACATTCAAGCAATGTTCAAGCAACATTCAATTTACATAAACCCTGAGAATTTAAGGCTTCACACATTGTGCCCATGTGAGTGAGTGAGTTGGGTTTAAAGCCGCTTTTAACAGTATTCCAGTCATATCGCGGCGTGTCAGCTTAATGTGGGAGGAAAGCCCGAAGTGATGCAGGTCTCAGATGTTTACCACTTCGGTGAAACCCACGAGCATGGGTATGGTGCTGACAAACCTAGAAACATAATTGGGGCGAACCCCCGGATTCGAAACCCACAATCATAGGTTTCTGGCGTGCCCAAGGGACGCAACTCTGCTCGCCCATGTGGGGATTTGAGCCCTGCATGACAAGGGATCGCTTTACCCACAGGACCTTAAAACTGCTGAACTGAAACCAATCAACCAGACCACTGAACACTTGATCTTCTAAGTGTTCTCATACAAGCAATATACAGTCAAGTCCTGTTAATCAGACACTGTTGGTTGCATATGATTATGTAGGATTAACGAGTAATGGGATGTCCTCAGTGGTAGTGAGAAGTTGTATCCAATTTTAATGAGATTGAGGTAATGTGATTAATCCTGTTTTGTCTATTTAAAGCAGTAGTTGTTTATTGTTAAGCAAGTTTATCTCTGCAGCCGTTGAAATATGCAGCTACTCGCCGACTCGTCTCGCATCAAAACACGGGGCTGTCTACTCGCGCGCCGATGACCATGGAGTACGCTGATCACTGTGTCGGATTATGAGACTAATTAATGAGTGACTACAGCAATTCGTTGCAAATTAGGTGTGTTGGAGTCAGAGTGCGAGACTGTCGGATTAACTGGCCTAAATAGCACTGATTTAATCGGTTCCCATCATAAAGCTGATTGTCGGATTAACAAGTATCGGATAAACAATAATTGACTGTAGGTGTCTGAGGACCAATCCTAACCCAAAATCCCCAATGTGAATATTGCTACAAACTTGATTATTGCAACTTATACTCAAGTCTGGACACATGAAAACGTAGTTGACACTAGCAAACAACTTCCCCCACTGTCGCCCAATCTGATCTCCATTCCAGTAAGTAAACTCGAAACCGCCAACCCCCACTTTTCCATCATCTCAAATGGATCAACCTGTATAACAAGAACCAATAGACAACACATTTGTGTCTTTGAAAAAATTGAATTCAACCCACTTCATCCTTGTGATAATCTGTCTCATTTGAAACGGGAGTTACGAATTTACAAATTTGGAACACCCCTTTAATCATGCATAAAACCAATTGTACCTTAGATAACAACGTTCGTGGTCTGCCAATAACCGCTATTCCAACCCGTAACGAAATATGCTGGTCAAGTAAGAGTTGCGTCCCTTTATCTGCATATTCGTGATGATCACTGATCACACATAACGGTCGTTCGGTTGCGAGTTCAACTCCATGCATCGTTTGGGCCACCTATCATCAGAGGTATCGCTGTGAGGAGCTTGGCGTTCGCCAGCTTCGCAAGCTCCTCACAGCGATGGTCCGCTCGGGGAGCTCTCTATTACCGACAGTGTAACAAAGGTGTCACGCGTTGGGAAGGAGCTTGCCAGCATCGGTGTAAGGAGTTTTCATCGAATGATATTTCAAAATGGCTGCCTCCATGGAAAGCATTAATCGTCTGCTAGCATCAGGGCAGTACCGGCCTTTGTTGGCTTTACTAAAAGGATTCAGAAATGGAGTTGTGTGAGTAATTTATCTTATCACGTTCGAAGCACATTTAAGGGAAGGCTTATTCCCAAACGTCTTTGGATTATGGTTTTTTTTGCGAATATTTGCAATAATAACCGGGTGATGCTGATAATGATCTAGTCTATGTTAGTTGTAGTAACTGTATAATCGATTCAGTCCAAAGTTCAAACCGCCTGAAAGTACATATGCTAAATTACCCGCTGGTTACAATATATCTAAATGAAAATATTCCTCTCATAAAGAAGTGATATAAATCATTATCACATGTATTGTAACATGGGTATCAGATTTGGTTTGTTACATTATATTTAATAAAGTTAACATTGTTGTCATTGACGTGCTAGAAACTATCAAATGTTTTGTTATAAGGATAAAAAGTAAAACAGTGTTGTCACCTAAAATCTGACATATGATTTATCAAATATCATTCTGTTATGATTAACACCCTGGACCCATTTCCAGCATAGCTACATTTTTGAAGTGACGTCCCAAGCGACATCTCTCTTATCACAAAGGTAGCACAGAATAGAGCTTGAGATGAACAACCAATCAAAATTACTCTTCTGATGCGATTCAGCATCAATATACATTCAAAATCACAGCCTTTTCTGATGAGGGCCCTTGATATATATAAACAAATCACAAGACTGTTATATATGAAGTTTTAGCTTAAAATAAATGTTTTACAGAGTAGTTTGTTTGTTTATTTGTTGTTAACACTGTACTCGGCAATAATCCAGATATATGACAGTGATCTGTAAATAATCAAGTCTAGTCCAGACAGTCCAGTGATTGACATCATGAGCAGTGATCTGTGTAATTGGGATACAATGACATGCATCAACCAAGTCAGTGAGTCTGACCACTCTCTCATGTTAGTCGCCTCTTATGACAAGCATGGGTTGCTGATGACTAAGGGGCGGTGGGTGGCCACGTGGTTAAAACGTTTGACTTGATTAATGAGTCTATACAGAGTCCAATCAAAATCGCGTAACGAAATCAACATCCATTTCGTAAACTGCCGTGCAGATTTCGGTCAATTGCAGGATTTGCAAAGCATATGTCCAAATCTTTTCATGTTTTTAACCAAGGTGCTCACATCATTTGATGCACTTACAAAGTAAGACCCGTTTTATTACAATATGGATCTTAATTATCGATCAGATTATCTTCACTGGTGGCGCCATATTGTTTGAAGCAAATGCAAGTGATATCAGAGGTGGAATCGGATTTGTCAATAGCAGGGACATAGAAGGGACATAACTTGTAAGAGCCACTGGTGGTGCAACGATTGAACCCAGAAGTTACGGCCTCGTTCGGCAAGGGTGGAAACTGGACTTTAACAGTCAGTTAACTCTCTTGCCTCAGGAAGATGTAATAGAATGAAGATGTAACTGGATAAAGAAGGATAATTATATATATATGCTGGAGAATATTTGGTCCTGATGTCTAACCATCTGCTATAGCACTCTGTGCCAAGATATACAGCGATTTTGCTGGAGCCAAATGTCACTAACGAGGATATTTTCATAAATGTTGCAAATTTTGATAGGACATGCTACTAACCCCATTTCTAGTTTCCATTTGATTAGCGTGTCATTGTGTGTCGGCGTGGATCATTGATGGCATCGATTGTTGTTCGCAATACCAATCACTGGATTATCTGTTCCAGACATGATTATTTCCAGGCTTCCATTATATACTGAAATATTGCTAAGTGTGGCCTTAAACAATAGCAAAAAGTGAAAAACTAACACGTGTAATATCGAGCTGATGTCTCATATGCAAAATACAAGAACCCATGTATTTCACACTACTCAATCTTTTCAGATATGGCGCGAAGGTCCGATTTCCACATGCCCTGGTCATGACATTTCTTTTCAAGGGAGGAAGGTAAGTTTTGGATTATAATTGAAAAATTCTTTGCTCAGTCCATTACAATATTTGACCATGTGATTTGGCTGGAGCTGTGGCTGGTGGTTAATTGTTAATTAATCATTGAATCTGCTACCAATTCAGTAGACTTTAGCACATGTTTCAGGGATTGATCCAGATCTGCTGAGATGCTGATATCAGGCCCATGTCAGTACGATTTGTCAGTAAAGTTCCCAAATGTGAATTAAAAAGTTCTTGTTCAATGTAAATTTCATTGTAAGTTATGTGATGCTTGGCCAAGGTGACTTGGATACCACTGATAACAGAGGCTTAACTTTACCTTATTGTATTGAATGCAGTGTGAAAATACCTCTGAAAATAAAAAAGCAACAACTACAAGACAATTCCATTTTTGAACAAAACAACAATTTTTTCCCAGTTTACCTGCCAAGGGCACTTTAGATAATAGATAAATCACTGTAATTGGTAAGCATGATGCAGCTGAAAATGTTGATTCTCTGATTCTATGTCATGTCCTGATGTCAATCTCCTCAGTAAACGTCCTTTAACAAGTTGGTATTGACCCAGGCATGCTGGATAAGCTCTGTTATGAGCCCCTCTTCTGGCTGTATGTAAGCAGGGGGCACGGGTGGCCCAGTCGTCTAAGGCGCCACGATTCGCTGTGCAGAGTTGCGTCCCTTGGGCACGCCAGAAACCTATGATTGTGGGTTCGAATCCCGGTTCACCCCCTGTATGTTTCTAGGTTTGTCAGCACCATACCCATGCTTGTGGGTTTCACCGAAGTGGTAAACGTTTGAGACCTGCATCACTTTCAGGCTTTCCTCCCACATTAAGCTGACACGCCGTGATGTAACTGGAATACTGTTAAAAGCGGCGTAAAACCCAACTCACTCACTCACTCACTGTATGTAAGCAGGGTTAGCAGGTGAAGTGACATTTCAATGACCAAACTGTAAACTGTTTAGGCCTGAAATATTTCCTAACTCTAGCCTCTTTACCAATGTGTCAGATAAGATGAACACAATAGATAGAAACTGCTATAGAAAATAACTGTTTTAGTCCACTAGCACTTATAAAGAAAACACATAGCAAAACCCTAATGGCAAATTTCTACTAGTTCTTATGATACCTTAACTATTGGGCAGTTTGGCACAGACTATAGGACCAGTGTCAATTTCTAGCGCTGTGTAAGCAATTTTCTGTTCTGGTACTTATTTGACCTAAGTCAATAGAGAAGATTATGTCCCCAGCATCCCGCCACTAATGAGTATTGGTTGGACAAAAAAGTCAGACTTGGGTCATTAGATGTCCACCAAACCAATGGTGTGGATTGTAAGTCATGCTTTTAGTCACTGGTTTGTCTGGTCCAGCCCGGTGTATATAGAAGGAACATTGCTGACTGTGGCCTTAAACAACATTCACTCACTCATTGTCCATGAATGTACTGGCCCCCGAAGAATGACGATTGGATAGCTTTGGATCATTGATATCAAGCTGTTATTTTGTAATTAATGTCCAGCCCTTCCTCGTGTTGACAGACTGCATGATCAGTTCCGTTCCATACTGGAGGCAACATACACACATTCGAGGAACCTGGGCCTGTTCGTGCTGGGTTACAAGTCCCTGACCACTGGCATGAAGTGGGTGGAGACACAGAAGTCCCAGCACCACTCCTTCATCTCGGCCTTCATCATCGGATACCTGGTGTTCGGCAAATACAACAAAGTCAACGAACAAGTAAGATGGTGACACAGTTATATATTCAAATCCAAAACACGAACCATAGAAACGTATGTGACCCGCCTGGAGAAAAGGGACGTCATGGGTGCTAGGATACCATTGTGTTGTTACGTCATAAAAAGAAGGGGCGGTCGGGTAGCCAAGTGGTTAAAGCATTCGTTCGTCACGCTGAAGACCCTGGTTTGATTCCTGACATGGGTACAATGTGTAAAGCCCATTTCTGGTGTCCCCCTGCCGTGATATTGCTGGAATATTGCTAAAAGCGGCGTAAAACCATATTCACTCACTCACTCACTCATAAAAAGAAAGACGTTTGATGTCAACTTGATTCCGTAAAACTGTAAAACTAGTAACATACTTTTATCACATTAGTTCGTAATGTAATTAAAACATTATTTCAAAGCATTTCAGCATGCATGTCCAGGGCTCTAAATTAACCGTATTTTGCGTGCCATCGCACACCTAAAATGAAAATAGCACGGCTAAATCAGGATCTTCGTGCCTTGATGGCACGCTTGGAAAATAGGAATTAATAACCTACCTTTGCCATATAAGGCATATTTTAATGATAAATATAAATCTCGTCAGCAATAAATTAACTCTTTCAACACAGTAGGCCGGTTTTCCGGCCAAGAAGCATCGAGTCCCCAGACACTAGGCCGGTTAACCGGCCAAGCCGTAGTCACGTCAAAATAGTATATATTTTGATGGACCTACATGTAATATCATTCATTTATTAAATCTATCACATTTCACAATGTCTGAAATACGTATTCCATTTCAATTTATCATTTTTTATCGATAAATTAAAAAAATATTCACTAGATCTATTTCCCGCGATGTTATTGAAAATAAAATTCTCGGACACACATTTAGACAAAGGGTCCACATTGAACATGTCAAAGAGCAAAATAAAGACGTTTTAAACAAATCTTTAAATATATTATACAAAGTAATAAATAAAATCAACAAAAATATATCTAAAAGTAATCAAAACTACTTCTAAGTTATTATTTCCATCCTTTCGTGCGATCGCGTGTAATGTAAGTCAAATGACATCTCGGCTTTCGTTGCCTTGAATTCCCGGCTCAGACTCGATGTTTAATGTACAAATATATGCATGAAAAATCTTTGTCACAGCTCATAACCTAGCACGATACATTCACGAAGTTCCATATTTTTAATATATATCGTGATTTCCTGCTTAAAACGTTCAGAATAACACGATTTAACAAAAATCTTTCGCCAACTTCTGAAATTTATCAAACATGAGCTTGGTATCACAGTTGTAATTTGATTGGCTGCCTTATGTCACATGCTCAAAATTGACCAATCACGAAACTTGTAGCAGATTTCGGCAAGAAAGCGTCATTAGAAACCAATTTTAAGCCAATGAAATCTCTTGTTATAACTACGGAAAAAAAACAGGCGATGTTACAAGCGTGTTGATGGAGGAATAAGCTTTCCAGCGATGTGTCATATGCCATTCTTCGACGAACGTGTTATTCATACGAAGCCTCGAAAACGGGGGTATTTCTTCATGATACTGAGCGGTCAGCCGCTGTTATCGGGAAATGGGTGATGACAGAAACTATTTATAATTCTTTTTAAAATGATTTTCCAATTACGTAAACAATGAAAATAAAACAGAAATAGGTAGATCTAAGTGGATTTTACTTCAGATGGGGCTTGTCTGTCACAGTCATTAAATGGAAGTCAGTAAAGTAAGTTTGTAACTCACTTTAGCTTGAATAAATCACTTACTATTAAGATCACAGATGTCTCACTTACTTACAATTACATGAATTTATTAACATTTTGATTGAACTACTGACAGAGAGACACAAATAAACAACAAACACTTAAATGGTTGTTAAAAATTTTAATGCTGAAATGTAACAAACAATTGGCTGGGCACCACATGATTTCCCAAGGCACACCTAAATTTTATACCTTGTGCCTTGTGGCAGACTTGGCAAAAATTGCATTTCTAGCCCTGATGTCTACGTTCAATTTATCAGACATTATATCTAACAATTGCAATTATTACATAAGCATTAACATGCCTGAAAATGGGAATTTGCAGAAAATGAGTCCAAATGTTGGATGCCATGTTACTTTGGAATAGATATGAATTGAAGCTCATCAAATGTATTTTTGTGGTCCTAAGATACTGTAGTTTTAAAATATAGTAAGAAGTCAAAATGTGATTTTTCTCCCATAAGGTCCCTTATCTCATGGTTGATCACATATAGAAAAGTATCTACGCTAAGAAGGGATGTTTCCAATGTGTACCATTTAATGACAAAACTGACAATCAGTCAAGTGTTTCTACAGAGTGTCTTTGTTTTTATCACAATATGCTGCGCATGATTTCAAGACTTTACTCATGAATCCTGCACGAGACAAATGGTACATCTCGAGCCATGGAACTATGACGTCACATGTGATGCGTTCATGAACGTCTGTTCACACAACAAAACAGGATGTGTGTTTGTGCAGCAAACCAGCCTAATATCTATTGAATATGAGTACTTCTTCATATATTACCCTACATGTATGATTTCTTTTGGTGGTGAGTATATGATCCCCTTACCATGGATCCCATGACATGTTCATATAAGTCTTATGTCCTGGTAATGTCTATTTCTGAATGGAGACTCCCTGAAGAAACCATTTGTGGATAACAGCTTCTTTATTGTTTGCAACAACGTTTCATGGCTACTTCCTCAGGTGAATGAATGGCTGACTTTTATGGATAACTTCTTTTACTTTGGTACCGACGTTTCATGGCTACTTCTTGCCCTTCGTCAGGTGAATGAAATACTGACTTGACTGGACTCCTGCATGTGTGCAAGCAGACATTTGAATGTCACCCATATCTACTTGTATCATTTTGCATATAGACATAGCTACCAATACCAAACTTGTTTTGTGGCACAGAAAAGTTTTGCAATGTACCAAACGATCAATGAAGCGTTACATCCCTGGTGATCACCAACCACTTGCTGAGTTTTTGCAACCCCAAAGAGGAGAGGCTGTTGTCTTCTTGTACCATTTTGCAGTCACATTGTTGCAACAAGACACTTGTGTTGCATATGCGAAATTTCAGGTTTGAGTCTGTTTCTGTATTTATGATGATAAATTCCAGTATTATTTTGCTTAATATTTTCTCAGTTTATTGAACCATTTGGTTTTGGTTGGTTTGTTGTTTAACGCCGCACTCAGCAATATTCCAGCTATATGACGGCGGTCTGTAAAATACTTGAGTCTGAACCAGACAATCCAATGATTGATATCATGAGCATCAATCCACGCAATTAGGATTGATGACATACATCAACCAAGTCAGCGAGCCTGACCACCCAATCCTGTTAGTCGCTTCTTATGACAAGCACAGTCGCCTTTTACGGCAAGCATGGATTGCTGAAGACCTATTCTTCCCCCGATCTTCACAGGCCTCTGTATGTTGAAGACGTGTGTGTTTGACTCTGGACATTTTAGCCTTGACCTATGTGACTGATATAAAGGGACATGTAGAATGGATCATGTACCTCTCTCTGTCATAAGGCGAACCTGAGTTTGATATACTGCATGTGTACTATGTTTGAAGTCCATTTCTGGTGTCCCCCTGCTGGGGTATTCCTTGAATATTGCTAAAAGCATCATAAAACAATATTCACTCACTCACACAGCAACCAATGCACGCACCCACGTAAGCACCAACAAAAAATATGTGTGTATATATTCAGTTACATCTAATTGTTTGATATATCTTCCGGGTATGGCCTATGAGGTTTATATACAGTCACCATCTGTTGTGAAGCAGGGAATGTTACTGTTACATTGTAGTAATAACTTTATTGCATAGTAATTATTGTATATCATATTGTATGTATTATAATTGAGGGAGTGTTCACTGACTGGATATGCCTGACACAGGAATCTGTCTACACATTTTGTCCTTGAAAGCCCCACTCAGGTAATATTCCAGCTATATGAGATCAGCATGTAAATAATTGAGACAGGACTAGACAATCCAGTGATTGTTATTATGAGCAATTATACTGTCTGACCACCACCAGATACAATAAGTCGCCTCTTACGACTTACATGACACGGACTCCCGTTGGGGGTCTACAAATTCAAAATTCTTGTGAATCATTTAATTTTAGGCCATGAATATACTTTCACAAGTACTTAAAGATTCACCATATCATCCCGGGGGACTCAGAAACTGAAGGAAGATGATGATGGTGAAGTGATTTTACACCTTGTTCAAACATGAGTAGTATAGTACAGTACCCTGGTAACCAAGCCAGTAGGAGTTATTTCCCCTTACCGGAAGTTGTAGGAGTTTTCTCCCCCTTTTGGAAGAGGGTGCCACTTCCGGTTCGGGGAGGCGTGAGCCTCCTAGATGGCGGCATGTCCGGTTCCGGGAGCCATGCACCTCCAAGAGGGCGAGGAGGAGGAGAAGCGCATGTAAAATCCTCAACTTCAATAAAAGAAGCTCACGTAAAATCCTCCACTGAAGCCAGTAAAGCTATCATGGACATCAGGGTTGGCAAGCAGAGTTGGGAGGAGGAGGAGGAGGGTTCTTTGTTTTTGTTTTTTTGTTGGCAAAGCAACAAAGTGTTCTTTCGGGAGAGTTGGGTGGCCCTGAAAATGGCCGTTTGGAGAAGAAAAAAATGACCAACACTGGCAGGGGAAGCTTCCTCATTCGCATTGCTCTGATTTGCATTCTCCTCACACATATAGTGCCAGAAAGTAGTTCTTATTCATGTGTCTCACCAACCCCGTCAGTTTGAGGTAGGCGCAGTGAGGGGACCACGTCTTTCAAAGTGTAGATTGGACGGCGGTGGCTTACTGGGCGGCGGCGGCGGCCTATCATCACAAGAATCTGTACTCTCAGATCTGGGCCCACAAGCATCCGTACAATCACTCCTGGGACCACAAGAATCCACACCCTCAGTCACCAGAAGAATCCAGGTCCCCTC